GCAGGCGGTTTGAGGCCGAGGGGCGTCGGCGGGCGGCGAGCGTGGGCGCATCGCATGGCGGGAGCGAGCTGCGGGTCTGGCCTTCTCTCAGTGCCCCCCCCCCCCCCCCCAAAAAAAAATTGCGCCCACCGCCCAAACACCGACACCGCAAAACAACACGCAACACGGGCACAAAGGGGAGGACTCTCACAGCTCACACACCCCGGGCCCCGGAGACCACCCCACAAAACAAATGGGGGGGGGCAACGGAAAACCTTACAGCTTACATTCTTGTGAAAATCCTCTTCCGTTAACTCTTAGAAATTATGACGCCCCAACTTTGCTGTAGAATAACTAGTGCTCTCGCGCCTTGAACACGCAAGAGCACGCGTCGCAAGCTCTGCGGCTCGCAGACGCACGGAACCTATGTGCTGCATTGTCCATTGAGCATCGGCAACGATGGCGCACTCGCGCGGTGTCCGGTGAGCAAGAGGCTGGGCCGGGCGAGCCTCCCTCGGCCCGGAGACCGCCCCCCGGGGGAGCGCGCTAGCGGCTCTTCGCGTAGAGCAGCTTGGGCAGCCCCGCTCCGGCCTCTGCGCGGGTGGACGAGACTGCGCAGGCGGAGAGCGCGGCGAGACGCACCCGGGCGGGGTCCGGGTCGCGCTTGGGCTCGGCGGCCTGCGGTGTGAAGGCTGCGGTGTGAAGGCTGCGGTGTGAAGGCTGCGGTGTGAAGGCTGTGGTCCTCACGGGGGGAGTGCGGTGTTGTGCCGTGTCCTCAGAGCGCCGTCCGTGCGGTGAACACCGCTGGCTAAATAGTGGCGATCTGCCCGCGTGCGTACGAGCTCACTAGTCTAGAGCTCGCACTAGAGGCCGCCATCGCATTCGCCTTTCTGGGACCCAGCGCTGGCTTCTGACTGTCGTTGCTGTCTCTCCCTTCTCGACGGTCTGTGCTTGTGCGTCTTGGGTCCGGGGTTGTGTTTTTGTGTGAGCACCGCTCGAATACGGCCGAGTACAGCGGAGTACGCGCCCCCCCGAGCGCTACTTGGAGGGACGAGAGTGACGCGTCTTCCGCTTCTAGGGCCGCCGGCATCAGCGATGCCCGCCGCCGCCGTTGTGCGGACGAGTGAAAGCCAGTGCGACAGCTCCCGCCGCAGCCGCGCGGCTGAAGCGCCCGGCGCGCCAAGTCCGCGATCGAAGCAAGCCTGGTCGGGGGAGTGTGTGTGTGGTGGTGGTGGGGGGGGGGGGGGGGGGCAATGGCGCCGGGGGCAGTGGCCCCGGCCGCCAGGGAAGAGGAAAAGGCGGTGGCGGTGAAATGAAATGGTGTGGGTGTGGGTCCAAAGGGCGGGGGGGGGGGGGGCTTCTGCTGCTGCTGCTACTGCGACTTCTGCGGCGGCTGCGGTTGCTTCTGCTGTTGCTTTTGCTGTTGCTGCTGCTGCTGCTGTTACTTCTACGGGTGCTGCTGCTGCTACAGATGCAGCTGCGGTTGTTGTTACTGATACGGGTGCTGCTACTGCTACGGGTGTTGGTACTGTTACGGGTTTTTTTTCTCCCCCCCCTGCTGCTGTTGCTGCTACTGTTACGGCTGCTGCTACTGCTACGGGTGTTTCTGTTTTTACGGTTGCGGCTGCTGCTGCCCCCCTCCAGGAGCTCCTCGCGCTAATTGCGTCCGAACGCGGCGG